GTCCAGCTGAGCCCTAGCTGTTGGGGTCTTTTAGTACGTGAACCACAGATTGGAAACCTCTGTCTACCTTTTAAATAAATTAAGCATACACATAGGATTAAAACTTTCAGTTGTAAAATATAAACTATCCTGAAATCAGAGATGCCCACCCACGAGACTCAATGAAGTAAGAAAAAAGTTGTGTGGCCATGAAAACAGGCCTCGATTTGCCCCTTGGAGCTAGCTCAGGCAGACATTCCTTGCATGCCCCCAAATCTGCCTTAGAGAAGTAAACAGCGAGTCTGGCACAACAGGTCAATAGGCTAAATCCTTGCCTTGTAAGCATCAGGATCCCATATGTGCACTGGTTCCTGTCCGGGCTGCTCCACTTCCCATCCAGCTCCCTGCTTGTAGCCTGGGAAAGCAATTGAGGACGGCCCAAAGCCTTGGGACCCTGCACCTGCATGGGAGACCCAGAGGAAGCTCCTGGTTCCTGGCTTTGGATCAGCTCAGCTTTGCCTGTTGCGGCTATTTGGGGAGTGAGTCAGTGGATGGACAATCTCCATCTCTCTCTGTGCCTTCCTCTCTCCGCCACCCACCCCCTCGAACTCTATTTTTCAAATAAAAAAAGAAAGATAATTGGCAGGGGCCCGAGCTCTGGGTTGAGACCGAGCTGGATCCACCTGCCCCCAGCACACCACCTTCTTGAAGTTCTTTTTTAGCTTCAATGACCTGGATGGACAAACAGAAGTTTATCACAGCCATAAAATTCCTAACTTGGGTTCTGTTCTGGTCCTTGGGGAACCCAAGTTTAGCCCTTCGTTATCATCCCCTGCTGCTCTAGAGCAGGGACAGCCAGAGCCCACCCTTGCTGGAGGTCCCAGTGCACACAGGAGAGGCCCAGGGAAGGAGGCATGGGGCGGGGCAGGCAGGGACAGAGGGCCGAGTCCAGCATGCTCCCTTCCGCGGTGGCACGGCGGCCTTCCCAACTCAGTCCATCGTCACAGGTATGACCACAGTCAAGTTCATCTCCTATCAGTTCTTCTTAGCACCCCCGCCTCGCCCACGGCAGCATTTGCTGCATTTTCTTCTCACTAAGATGCTTACAGAAGGCCAAGGAGAAGCACTGAGATGCAACCCAGCCAGTCGGCTGCTGCGTGGGTCTACAGTGGGAGTTCCGACTTCCGCCACGGACGCTCACGGCATTGCCTTGTGGCCTGCTATGGAATTTCCTCCTGACTCCCAGGAAGGAAGTCACTGGATCAAAGGACCCTGATGTTCTGCCAAGGGCTCTGGGACCTCAGGGTATCTCTGCTGTGGCTATACCCTGGAGAGCCATTCTCGGGGGGGGGGGGGGGGGGGGGGTGGTGGGGGGGGGAAACGTGGGGGAGATGGAAGCTCCTGAGCCAGAGTGAGGGGCTGGGGATGATGTGGGGTCAGGCCCTGGAGTTAAGCCCCAGCCTCGCCATTCACTGGCTGTGTGCTGTGGCATGTATTTCTTCACCTCTCTGAGCCTCAGTTTAACTCACACCCCGCAGGATCACCCACCTCAAAGGGTCTCCGAGATGAGCCACAGGGGACTCGTGTGGGATGACCTGGCCCACAGCAGGTGTTTAAGAAGGAAAGCCCCTATTATCGCATCTTCAGGCAGCTGCCCCTTGAATCAAATCTGGGCACCTCTGTCCTGGCCGGGCCCTGGGCTGGCTGCAGGGCACATGCAGGTCTTGTTCATCCCTGGCAACTGCAGTCAAGTGCAATCTCGAGTTTGTGGATGACTTCACCACTAAGGAAAGCCTGTGGGGAGTGGGTGGGCGGGGCTGAGAGCGGCAACCCTCCTTCTTTTCCGGGCTAGCTCTGGCTGCCACTTGAACTCAAGGAGTTGCATGATGCTCCCGGCATGGTTTTAAGTAGCCACTCAACGCAAGTATGTCGCTGCCACCTGGTACTTCTTGGTAGACAAAACCCAAACCAAATACAACAAATAACATAATAAAAGCCAACCAGGAAAAAAAAAAAACAACCTGCCAGATGGGCCTCAATTTAGGACCTTGGGACTTCTGGCTATCCCCACCCCCACCAAAATAAAGCAAACCACACTGGGCAAGTGACCTGACACTTCTGAAGCTGGCCAATCTGTCAGCACGGCCCACTTATCTCCCACAGGGCGTGTGGGCAAGTGCCAGGGCACAAATGTGCAGGCGTGGGAGGGAGGGAGAGCAGCAAGCAGAAGGGCCCAAGTCTTTGGGCGCTGGCCAGCAGTTGGCGGTGGCACTTGCTGGTAGAGCACCCAAGGTGGGACTGAGCCACGGAGCCCTATGGCACAGAGAGGGCTAGCCCGCCTGCAAGTGTGCAGGAGGACCACCTGTTCAGGCAGGGAACACCCCAGCCCTCTCCTCATTCCTGCCCACCCACAGCTGCCTCCCACATGACCACGTGCCCTAAGCCCCCTCTTCAGGAACAACCTCTCTGGGGAGCTATTTGCAGATCTCCCTGTCTGGAGAGCAGGGGCTTGGCACGCAAGTGCGTGCAATGTTACAAAGAGGGACACAGAAGCCACAGCAGGTGCCTCCGCCTCCAGCCCGGCCCCACCCTGGTCTGCTGTGTGTGTGTGTGTGTGTCTTAGTACCAACGTCATCCCACATCTGCAGCCTTGTGACAAGGGCCTTTGAAACTCTCCAGTGATGCCATTTGCCAGGGACAGCCAGCTGCCTCACTCAAAGTTGACCCCACGGTGACTGTGGTCACCACGATGGTGGCCCCGAGAGCCTTCCAAGATACTGTCGGGTTGCCGACGTGGGGCAGCTCTCTGCAGGAGCCTGGGATGTTCCTGGCCCACGTGGTATGCAGGTGGACAGGGCAGAGCCAGGAGGAAGCGAAGAAAAAGGCCTCATGAGGCCTGGGTGACAAGAGAAGGGGACTCCCTTGTGGCTTCCAGGGCCCCCAGCTCTGTCAGTCAGTGGCTCCCCTGCACTTGATTGGGGGTCCCTCACCTGCTGAAAGAGGCTCTGTAGCCTTTCTGAGCCTCATTTTATAACCACCCCCGACCCCAAGAGCTCGTGTTTGCCTTGGCGATCCCTGTGCCCAGTACCAGGCCTGGCACATTCAGAACTGCAGCCAACAAGAGTGTGGTGGGAGGGCACTCTTTGCTGCTGTCAGTGCCAGAGCCTCTGCGGAACCCACATACCTGCAGGCATGGAGGCACTGGGGCGCCCGTTTGTGGCTGCTTGTGGGTATGCAGAGGAGAACTGGAAAAACACAAGGCTGGCACTGTGGCTCAAAAGGCTAATTCTCTACCTGGAAGTGCCAGCATCCCATAATGGCACCAGTGTCCCAACTTCACTTCCCATCCAGCTCCCTGTGTGTGGCCTGGGAAAGCAGCCCTGGATGGCCCAAAACCTTCCTGCACCCGTGTGGGAGACCTGGAAGAAGCTCCTGGCTTCTGGCTTTGGGTCAGCTCAGCTCTGGTCACTGCAGCCACTTGGGGAGGGAACCAGTGGATGGAAGCTCTTTCTCTCTGCTCCTCCTTCTCTCTGTAACTGCCTTTTCAATAAAAAAAAAAAAAAAATCAAATGTTTTTTTGGTTTTTTTTTTTTAATGAAACAAAGAATCAGCACATGGGTGCCTGGTCCCTCACAAGCACCTGCTAGGCCTCCTGGCCCTCGACACCTGCCCCTTCCAGGAACAGGCCCCTAGCTTCTCTCCTGAGGGTATCATCCATCCCACCCTCGAGGTCTGCCTTGGCTTGGCCCTAGGTGTGGTGTACAGCTCAGGCCTGGCTAACTGCAGCACTCCGGTCCCCCAAGCCACAAGCTTGTGTCCCTTTCTGGCACATGGGGTGGAATTCCCAGAAAAGCAGCCATTTCTACTGATATATTCTGAGAATGAAGCCAGAGGAAAGCCGATAAAAACAAAACCAAAGGAAATGCAGACAGCCACATTCCTGAACTTTGTTGCTGGATCCAGCCATGCCTGAGTCCTCCCTACCCAGAAAGGCAGCATAAAGCAGGGTCCTTTCTCTTCTAGAACACCATCCTGACAGACACAGACCCACTTGCAGCAAGAAGTGAAAGAGCGGGCCCAGCGTGATAGCCTAGTGCCTAAAGCCCTTGCCTTGCACGTGCTGGGATCCCATATGGGAGCCTCACTTTCCATCCAGTTCCCTGCCTGTGGCCTGGGAAAGCAGTTGAGGAACGGCCCAAAGCCTTGGGACCCTGCACCCGCATGTGGGAGACCTGGAAGAAGTTCCTGGCTCCTGGCTTTGGATCAGCTCAGCTCTGGCCTTGCGGTCGCTTGGGGAGTGAATCAGTGGATGGAAGATCTTCCTCTCTATCTCTCTTCTTCTCTGTATATCTGCCTTTCCAATAAAAATAAATAAACATTAAAAAAAAGTGAAAGGGCACAGAGCATGAGTTATTATCAGCAGTATGAGGAAAGAGCTGCTGTGTTTAGCCCTCAGCTTCCAATTGGGGGAAAAAACTCGGAATCTGGTACAGCAGCCGGCTCTGGCTCCGTCCACGTCTCCTGGGTCTATTGTCCGAAGCACGGCAGCCCGGCCCTCGGCTCTGACTCCAGGGACACTCGGAGCAGACGAGACCAGAAACCCATCATGGTGACAGAGCAGGAAAGGCAAGTGACACCCAGTGCAAGGTATCTTTGAGATAACTGGATGAGAAGGAAGAGAAAACAACATAAAAAAGAACAGATAAAAGGTGAAAAAGAAAAAAAAAAATCAGGCAAGAAGGAAAGAAAAAATCCTGAGCGTGTGAGCAGCTGTCTTTGTATATTAGGCACAGGTTAAAAAGGCTAGCGAGTAAAGTCTTCACTATAAGATGTCTTTATAGTGAAGGATCAATGTGTCCAAGAATGACTTCTACGAGAGAAAACTGTCAAGCCCAGCCCAGCGATTTGCTTCAGGATTAAATGGTATTCCTCTCTCCTCCCTACGATATCTCCTTGACACTGACAGGCTAAGCCCCCACCCAGCCTGGCCTTGGTGAGAGCAGGTACTCCGGGACACTCACCGTGGTGATGAACCTGTACAGTGGCTGCCGTCTCTCTGTGTACTTGACCGTGATGGGGCTCAGGTCATAGCGGAACCAGATGGCCGGGATGATTCGGCCCGTGTGGCTGTAGGCGACGTACTCCTGGCAGGAGGGAGGGACGGCAAGGTCAGATGTCAGAGGCCCAGGTTGTATATCCTGGGGGTTGGGGATTGGAAGCCACCCTCTTCCCCAATGGAGCCAGGCTCCACTGGTCCCTCTCATGGTCTTTCCTGCCCCTAGATTTTGCCATCCACACGCTCAGGTGGGCAACACCACTAGGGGCGTACTGGACCACCCATGGTTATTTGGAAACTGACCTTGCACACTGGAAGTGGCACCTGTATCCAAATGCATATGGATGCACAGAGCTATAGCAGGCAACATGGCTTCCAACTTGGCCTGAAGAAAGGTCTGTGTTCCCTCTCCCATGCCCCTTTAATCCAGGCACACCTCTGCCATGCTGCCTGCTGCTGGGGACCCTGAAGTTGAGCAAGTTTCTTCCCTGGAGGGGGTCAGAGTCTGGAGCAGGACAGGCAGGGCTGAGGCTGGACGTCCAGCTGTCCCCGGGGGCACCTGGGAGATGCACGCAGCCCACGGCAGGCCAGCAGGAGCTCGGGCCGCTGCATGTATGTGAGTGTGAGCGTGGGAGGGCCTTCCAGAGAAAGCACGCAGCAAGGATGGAAGGGGTGCTCTGGGGCTGTGACCACTAGGCCCCTGGACCGGGCCCTCAATCCCCAGGGACTGCCCATGGACTCTCTCCAAGTCGGCACTGGAAACCTCTGGGGCTGCACCCACTTGTCCACAGCAACTGGAGGGCAAATCCAGCTGCCAGGGTGCCGCGAGCCCCAGTGGCTGGGCCCAGGCACTTCCAGCTGCCCCTGGGGATGGCACTGACACCTGAAGTCCTGCCTGGGCAGTTGTTGCTTGCTCCCTGGGCAGGCTGGGACCAGGGTTGTCCCTTAAGAATGCCAAGTGAGCTGTTCTGGCTGCCTGGGGCCCTGCCAAAGCCTGGGGGGCAGGAGCGGGCAGGAAGGAGCCTGGAGTGAAGACGACTCCTTTCTCCAGAGATGGGATGGGAACAGCCTGGGTCTCCTCCGGAGCTGCTGCAGGGAGCAAAGGCTGGGGACAAGTAGCATCCACATCAGCTTGTCACCTCCCTGCCTCCACACCAGAGCCTCCTCGGTGGGCTCGGCACATCTGAAAAGCAGGGGGTACTGTCCCTATTTTACAGATGGGACCACTGAGGCACGCAGGCGGCAAGGGACAGTAAAGATGTGATCCTGGTGCCCCGGCTCTTCCTGCTCAGGTTGCGCCTGTGTCCTCCCAGCGGTACAGTTACCACGAGATGCCCTCGGGTCTCCTATCAGGGTGGCACCTGCACACCCCTCTAGTGTAGATGCCTGTCACTTAATGGACAGCGGCTCCCTGGGGGGACAGACCCAGCAGCGCCTGGTTCAGAGCACGCAGGTGATGTGGCTAACAGGCCACAGCCTCTGGAGGGTGTGGGCGTCTCACATTCCTCCTCCTTGGGTCACTGTCCTAGCTCTGGGACCCCTCCCCACTTCCAGTGCCTCAAGGGGCACATTTGGGACAGCAGGGACAACTAGTGCCCCAGTGTCGGCACTGCTGACACAGCAACTGAGAAAGCTGATGGAGGCAGAGAGCCGAGCAGGGACCCCGGGAGGGTGGCCTCGGTCAGCGGCAGCTCTTCCCACCCCCCCAGTGCTGCGACAGCTATGAGGGTCTCTCACAGAGGGTTCGGGCAGCCCCAGGACGAGAGGAGGAGGGTCCTGGTACTCAATCTGGCCAAGTCCTGCCTCTCACGGGGGTCCAGCCAATGCTTGTGGGGAGGCGGGGTGCTGGGGCATCCTTGCCAATGGACTGCGAGTCAAACAAGTCAGCCTGGTGGGAGCTACAGACTTGTGACTTACACAAAGCTCTCTGCTTGCAAGGCGCTGTGGTGGGCTAGCCAGCAGAGGGGCTGCGTGTGCAAGACCCAGGGAGCCGTGTGCAGCACCCAAGGAGCCGTGTGCAGCCACGGCGCCCATGGGGAAGGCTCCCCACCTGCTCTCTCTCAAACAGACCAGGTCAGAATATCTCACACTGACTCAGATCAACAGGACGGCAGGGACTGTGGTCTCCACTTCAGGAACTGGGACAGAGGGTGCGGACGCAGCCAGCCGGCACCTCCACTCTGGGCCAGCAGAGGGCGCGGTTGCACACGGCTGGACTCGCCCTCCCAGCCCAGCGCACCTTGTTGGCCACTGTGTACTGGTAGGAGTACCGCTGCTTGCCGCTCTTGTCCTCGTACACGGTGGGCACGATCTTCAGGATGTAGTCGTGGGAGGCCAGGGCTGTGGGAAGGACACAGCAAGGTGAAGACGAGGGGGACACAGCCTGCCCGACGGTCATATCTAGGGGGCTCGGTGTCCACTGCTCCCCACTAGACAGATCTTGACCTCTTCGTGCAGAAATGGGGTGGGGTGCTGTGAGACCCCCACTGCCAGGATCCTTCCTCCTGCACCATCTCTGAGACTAAAACACTGCTGGTGGGTGGCCCAGTGGCTGCCAGTAGAGGGGCTGCTGGGACAGGACTCGTGGGGGGGTGGGGATGGTGATTAAGGAACCCAGACAAGGGAGCGTAAGCAGAGCCTGTTTTGTGGCTGGGGAAGACAGTCTCGGCAGACACACGTGGGCAGAGAGAAGAGGGACTCGGGGAGAGGCCCCCAAGTGCTGGGCGGCAACAGACAGTGTTTGACAAGGGTCCCATTGCATTAGGCACCTCCTGGTGTTGTCTGAGCATTTGTGCTTTGGAAATGAACTGAGTCGGGCCCGGCGGCACGGTTTAGTGGCTAAAGTCCTCGCCTTGAACACGTCATGATCCCATATGGGCGCTGGTTCTAATCCCAGAGGCCCCACTTCCCATCCAGCTCCCTGCTTGTGGCCTGGGAAAGCAGTTGAGGACGGCCCAGAGCTTTAGGACCCTACACCCGCGTGGGAGACCTGGAAGAGGTTCCGGGTTCCCGACTTCGGATCGGAGCAGCACCGGCTGTTGTGGTCACTTGGGGAGTGAATCATCGGATGGAAGATCTTCCTCTCTGTCTCTCCTCCTCTCTATATATCTGATTTTGTAATAAAAATAAATAAATAAATCTTTAAAAAAAAGGAAATGAATTGATTTGGCTCTCTCCTTTTTTAAAAATCTATTTCCCTTTTGCATTTGAAAGGCAAAGACGTACACACACACACACACACACACACACACACACACACACACACAGAACAATATCCCATCTTCTGGTTTACTTTCCAGAGGTCCACAACAGGCTGGTTAGAGCCTGCAGCCAGAACTCCATCCGGGCCTCCCACGTGGGTGGCAGGGGCCCAGACACCGAGCCATCACTTGCCGCCTCCCAGGGTGCCGTGTCATCAGCAAGCCGCCATCAAAGTGGAGTGAGGACTCGAACCCGGGTACTCCAATATGACAGGTGGGAGCCCCAAGTGGCGGCCTGCCTTGTCCCCAGGTTTGTGTGTTTTGAAAGGACAGAGCCCACCCAGCAGAAAATCCACCTCTGCAAAGAATGGATCAACGGCTTGCTCCCTCCCCATGCTCTTTCACGTTCCCCTGCAGCTCTCTCTGCCCTGAGTGGCGGTAGGGGGCGGGGGAGGGCAGGGCTTACTCATCCGCAGTCCCCAGGGCCCTGCACGGGGCCTGGTACAGCGTGGACCTTAGCAAGCACTTCCTGGATGAATGAACGGGGGGAAGAGGAGGAAGATGACTGCACAAGGGGCATGAATGGATGAATCAGCTGCTGATAAGCATGAGGTACGCAGGATCAGATGCTGGGACACTGTGGGCCTACGGCCGCCACGGCCTGCTGGAGCCTGCTGGGATGCTAAGAGCCTCAAACCTGTCTATTCTTTTGTTTTCCCTTGCTGGATTCTCGAGTCAGGAGCCACAGAATTTTATGTCAAACACTGTGGAAATTCACTCCTGCAGGCTTCAGTCCTTCTCCCACCGACCTGGGTCCTTGGATGTGTAAGAAGGGTGGGCAGGGAGAGAACATTCTAGGCCCTGACATGTCCCGTCAGCCTCTTCCTGCAGACAGCCCATCTCGGGAAGGTACACTGCTGATTCCTGCACTGTTGGGAGGTGACGTCCCTGAATGCCTGCCCAAGCCCTGTAGCTGGGGACCCAGAGACCCCAGGGTGGTTCTCAGAGCTCAGCCACTGCTCCGATTGGAGGCACACGCCTTTACCTGCTCCCCGGGAACAGGGGGATGGGATGGGCCGTGAGGGGCTCCTACCAGGCAGGGTGAGGCTGAGGCTTCGAACCCTTGAACTGCCCTGGAAACCCATGCCCTGTGCCTGCTGCTCTAGGGAGAGATGTGGTAGCCGGGAAGGATGAATGATTCCTGAATCCCAGTTGCAGTACTTTTTGCACAAGGAAGAAGAGAGATGGAGAGAGAACACTCCCAATGCTGGTTCACTTCCCGCATGTCTGCAACAGCCAGATCTGGGCCAGGCCAAAGCCAGGAGCCTGCAACTCAACCTGCGTGTCTCCCATGGAGGTGGCCATTACTGCTGCCCCCTCCCGTGCCACGCATCAGCAGGCAGCCAGCCCTTGAACCAAGCAGGTGGAGATGGCATGCCAGGGGCCCCAAACGGCAGCTTCACTGCTCCTCCATCTTTAAACCAGCAGCCTGCATGCGTGAGGGTTCATCCCAAGGTGGGAGTATTGGAGCTGTTGAAATGCTTGTGCCCCTTGTCAGGGTGCCTGGCTGCTGCCCGGCTCCAGCTCCCTGTAAGTGTACACCCCAGGAGGCAGTGGGGATGGCACCAGCCATGGACTGTCACCCAGGTGGGAGATCTGGATGGATTCCTTGGCTCCGGGCTGCAGCTCAGCGCCCCTCTACTGGCCAGTGTGGGGATTGCGGGGGAGAGGAGTGATGGAGCCGAATGGAGCACTGTCTGGCCCTCACAAATGAAAGTTGGTGGGAAAAGTGTTAACTGGCGTAATGGCGGAGAGCATGTCTGGATGCCAGCATTCCGGATCACAGTGCCCAGGCTGGCATTCGAGGCTGGGTCCTGCCACTCGCAGGGGAGACCTGCACTGCTGCCCCGGAGGCTGGCTTCTGTTTGGTCCAGCTTTGGTTGTTGTGGGCATTCCATGGGGACACAGAGAACAGGCTGTTCTCTGTCTGTCTCTGCTTTGCAAATAAACTTAGAAAACCAGATTAAGGGGGCAGGGTAATTTTGGTGCAGAAAATTCTCAAATCCACTTTTTCCTAACATGCCTATTCCATGAACTTTCCCGAAGCTCTCGTGTGCGCTCACGTGCGGTGGGTGACATCTGTGAGTGATGAGCTTATTTCCATCCAGTGACAGCATCCGGCTCCACGTCACAGAGGACCATGTCACACACACATGATCCGCCTTAGATTCTGCCCCAGGATATCTCGGACCTGCGAACCTGGTGGCTGTCATTTCCTGAGCGCCCATGGCACACCTGGTCGGCGTCCGTAACCATTTACACAGCTCTCAGTTTTACCTACGTCCAGGCCGTGGGTGAGGAGGATTTGCCCCACTTGACAGATGCAGAAAGTGAGAGGAGCTGGGGACAGAGCCCAGGGCAAGGCCGAGTACCTGGACTGGAGGTGAAGGACACTTATGTCTGCATTGGGGTGAAAGCTCAGTGGGCACAAAACAGGGGCTGCACGCCAAGGAGGGCAAGCAGGAGTGTTCCTGGGAGCAGGGTCACGTCACAGAGGTGGTCAGAGGCCTAGCGGGATGGCTCAATTCTCATCTTGCAAGTGCCAGGATCCCATATGAGCACTGGATAGTGTCCCGGCTGCTCCACTTCCCATCCAGATCCCTGCTTGAGGTCTAGGAAAGCAGTAGAGGACAGCCCAAGTGCTTGGGCTCCTGCACCCACGTGGAAGACCCAGAAGGAGCTCCTGTCTCCTGGCTTAGGATTGGCTCAGCTCTGGCCATTGTAGCTACTTGGGGAGTGAACCAGCAGATGGAAGATCTTTCTGTAAATCTGATCTGCCTTTCCAATAAAAACAAATAATCTTTAAAAAGAAAAAAAGGTAGTCAGCGAGAACTTCGCTGAGGTGGTGGCGCTTGTGCTAGGGCCTGAATGACAAGCAGCACTGCCTACAGGAAGACCTAGGGGTGGAGGGACTACAAAGATGGAAGGCTAGTGTGGGACTGGGGCCGTGGAGCCAGCCCTGCTTGTGCCTGGCTTTTGATTGATGGCATGCTTTTTCCTTTCCATTGGAGCCAGCCTGAGACAGTCTTTGGCATGAGCCCCATCGTGGGCGAGATCTCTGCCCACACCCTTATCTGTTCTCATAGCTTTGTAGCCTGATGCTTCCCCAGCACGACAGCTGAGCAGTGAGCCCTGGCCATCTTGGCACAGCTCCCTGGCCACCTTGGCACAGCTGGGAACAGGGACTGCATCACCCTGGGAAGTCACCTCTCTGGCTAGTTCCCGGATGCTCACATTCAAGCAAGGTTGTGTGTGGCCTGTCAGTGGAGGCAGCAGGAATGGCATGGACCTGGCTGGAAAGGAACTCTGTCTACTGCACAGAGCAGACCCCATATGCATCAGAAGCAGGGCTGTGTGGCACAAGACTGGAACCTGGCCAAGACAGCACACGCAGAAAGCACAGCAGAGTTGCTGAGGGCAACAAGGTGGCTGTGACACCCACAAGTACAGACCCTGCCAGGATGGGCTGGTGTTAGGGCACACCAAGTTACACGACCCCTGCCACACCAGCATCCCACAGGAGCGCTAGTTCAAGTGCAAGCTGCTCTGCTTTTACTACAGCTCCCTGCTCACGTGCCTGGGAAGGCACCAGATATTGGCCCATGAGCTTGAGAACCCTGATTCCAGACACAGGAGACCTGGACAGACTTCCGGGCTCCTGGCTTCTACCTGGCCCAGCCCTGGCCATGGTGGCCATTTTGGAGGAGTGAACCAGCACATGGAAGATGGATCTTTCTTTTTCTCTCTTCATTTCATAAATAAATAACAATAAATACGTAAGCACAACAACAACAAAAGCCTGCTGGAATCGAAGAATGCCAAGCACACAGGTCAGAAGCAAGCTGCCATCTGTGCTTGGGAAAATGGAAACGCCTTCCGGCCAAGGATGTCACGGGATGCAGACAGGTGCAGTCAGTGAGGCGTAGGGGCAGCTCGCAGAGGGGTGGGTTCCTGAAGGTGGGAGCAGAGGTGGATTTGTGCTAACAGTAAGGAGACCTGCAGGGTGGGAGAGGTGGGCTCCGGTAAGGCTGACGGCAATACAGAGGCAGCCTGGGCCGCAGACCCGTCCTATGGGTAGGGACGCGTGGGCAGCCAGCTTCCTGGGCACCGGCTGGGCACGCACCTGTGTGTGTGCATCTGTGCCTCTGTGGAGAGGTGACCCCATGTCTTTCAACTGACGAGGTGTCCAGGAGAGAGAGGACCCTGGGAGGGGTCGCTGGCAGGTGGGAGGGACCAGGCCGGGAGGGTACGTGTGTTTGTGGGGACCAGGTTACTTGCAACCGAGTTCCTGGGTCCTCATGCAGTGAGACTTGCCACCAACATGGCCTCTGGCCATGGGAGTCACACGAGCTCTCAGACTAGTGCCTTGTCAGTAAGGCTGATGGCCGTGGCGGACAGCAGTCCTGTGCATGACGTGTGCCTTTCCAGCCACACGCTAATCTTCCCTTCCCCGGGAGATGGGGAGAAACTCATTTTTTACCAGTCCAGTGGTGGGATTGGTGCTCACCTTGACATTGAGCAGCCCTAATCCCTGCTTCCCCACCCTGGGCTGGCGTGCTGCACAGGGAGCTACGGGGCCGAGGCTGTTCCCGGCAGAGTCTGAGGGGACTTACGGTTAGAGCTGAGCCTGTCTGCACCGCCCAAAGCATTGAAGGCTCCGTGGACATTCTGGACCTGGGGGAGAAAACACGGCGAGGTCACTTCTAGGTTTGACCCTGGGCACAGGGACTGGGGGAGGGGCCGCCTGCTCTAAGGTCCTCACTTGGTCTCATAGAGAAGTGATGGAGAGCAAGTGACAGTATGGGCTGGGCACCTCAAGGGCAAAAGCTACCTTCCACCCTGAGCACCTGCCGTGAGCCACTGTGTCCTGGCCACTTCCTGTCGACTAACTGAATGCTCCTCTTGGTGAGTCACTGGGCCCATTTTACAGAAGAGTAAACCAAGGTAAAGAGAGGCTCGGGGGTCCAGCAGCTGAGGAGTGGCGGAACCAAACTCTGTCTGGGTCTGACTCCAAGCCTGAATGCCTCCCACGGAGCCTGGCAGAAATGCCCAGCAAACGGAGCTGGTGGGTAGTGGCTCCTCCTCAGGAAAAGGCTTCCCCAGCCCTCCAGCCCCCCAGCCCTCAGAAGCCCCTGTAGGAGCGGGGATGGGAGTTCCTCACTGCGTCTGCTTGGGACACACAGTGTTGGGCAAGAGAATACTTAACATAACAGGGAGATGTTCTTAAAAAGAAAATTTTTTTTTAAAGTTCACGGAAAATGCCTGTTATGAAAACCCTAAGTGTGGACTGAACACTTTTTACACCAAAGTAAACTCACTGTAAATTCCATTTCCATAAACTTTGTGAAGAACCCTCAAGACGCGGAGCACAAAGCCACACACACCTCCCTTATTGGAGGACCTGGAACATCATCCCACAGGCCTGGTGAATAATGCATGAGACACTCTGGAGGACTTCCTGGAGGAAGTGATGCTAAGCTCTCAGAAAGCAGGAAGCTAACCAGACAAGCATCGCACACAAAGGTCTTGAGCCTAGACGCTCATGGGGCAGTCAGAGGCTCCTTGTGGACACAGGGAGGAAGGTAGGACTAGAGAGGTGAGTGGGGACAGGCTCTTCCAAGAGAGGGCCACTCCAGGGGAAGCAAGCAGCAAGAGGTGACCTGCTGGGGCATCCTTGTCGCACTGGCAGCTGTATACTGAGCACGTTCCTGGCCAGCCCTGGGACACAGTCCCCTTTGCTACCCCGGGGGAAGATTTGCTGTCTAGCTCACCAGCATGGTGGTTAGACACCTGGGTGCAGGGCCATTCCTTCACACACATTTATCCAACATTCACTTGCCCCCTCCACACCTGCCTTCCCCCAGTGGGCATGTGCAAGGTCCAGCACACAGCAGGTGCTCAGAACAATGTTCCAAGTGGGTGGATGGACAATGGGTGGAAGTGTGGGTTCTTCCCTAGGTTCTGTGCAAGCCAACTTCCTCTAGAGGCATGACCACGCTTGGGGCTGCAGCTGCCCCCTCTAGCAGGTACTTCTGCATCCTGTTCAAGCCTGGTGCATGACCAAAAACTGCTTGCAAAAGCCTTCTTCTGTCTCCAGCCCACAGCATCCTCTGGGCTCAGACACCTGCTGCTCCTTTTCTCTCAAAGAACCATGATTGTGATCTGTTGAATGGAACTCAGGAGGGGAGGAGGGGGCTGCTGTTTGAGACCCCACTGCCTGGGACGCTTTCCTGGCCCCCAATCCTCCTGATCCTCAGGGACTGGCTGAGCTGTCACTTTCTCTGGGAGCCCCTCTCCCAATTACCCAGGCTGAAGGTGGGGGCAGTTCCCAAGGCCAGCATCCTTGTGCAGGACTCTGTGGCTCCCTTGCTCCATGATATCCTGTTCATATTCGCCTCTTGTCTTCCCTGGGGTGAGGGAGACCCCACCTCCTGTTGTTATCCAGCACAGTAATCGTAGGACATGGCACACCAAGCACAGCACCCAAGTCAGATGATGGAAGCACAGGGAAGGGGAGAGGCAGAGCCAGACAGCCCTGGCTTCAGCTGGGTGGCTCCACACGACCCCAACATCTCTCTGATGCACTATCCTTCATCAGCTACAACTCTGCCCTCCACGTGAGAATTGCCACGCAGCCTGGAGCTGTCCCGAGCTTGCTGTGCTGAAGGTGTAGGGTGGGGCAGAGGCTTGGTTCAGACCCTGCCTGTGCCACTCAGAAGGGAACTGTGGGGCCTTGGGGTGTGCCACTGAGCCTCAGTATCCCCCACCACGCACACAGGAGGGCGCCCTGTCCCAAGCCACCTCAGAACCCGGAAGTGCATAATCTAAAACAAGGCTTGGGCTAGGACCCAGGGGGTCAGGGAGGGGTGGGGAGCCTCCAACCTCGAGCGATGGAATTTACATTCAGCCTGGACCTGCTGTAGGGGGTAGAGACGTAAGAGAAGAGCAATTCCCACCGCCACCCCAAAGCTGGTAGGAGACAGGCGGCAAATGATTGGTCCTTTGATGGGTCAGGGTTGTGGCTCAGTGGCTGAAGGGCCCTTCATGAGGCAGGCATCTCCCACTGGAGCTCCAGTTCACACCCTGACTGCTCTGCTTCCAATCTAGCTTTCTGTCGATGGGCCTGGGAAGGCGGACGAAGGTGGCCCCTCAAGCCCATGGAAGACCTGGATGGAGCTCCTAAATCTTTCTGGTCTGACCCAGCCCTGACTGGTGCACTCATTTGAGTCTTGATCTCTCTCCAAGCCCCAATCTGTATCTTATTATATACAAGTAAATCATTAAAGAAAAATTTGGTTTCTCTGCTGTGTGTTTATAGCAAAGAACCCAGGGCCCCTGCTTACAGGGCAGGAAGCTGGCAGCGGCACCTGCCAACATGGCCACCTGCAGCACAACAAGGACCCTCAGATTCCATCTTTCAGCAGGAGCTGCATCTCACAGCATCTCACAGAGAACACTGAGGTGCAAGAGTGTCCCCCAGAATGCATGTGTTGGGAGCTTAACAGCATTTGAGAGGTGGGATTTAGGGGCAATGCCCGGGGGGCCAGGGAAGGCTCTGACTTCACAACCTGATGAATCCATTCATGGACTAGCAGATGAAGATGTTATCATGGGAGTGGCTTGCTTGCTTGGCCCAGGAGGAAATGCCCTCTGTCACGCCAGGAAGCAATACAATGTTCTCACTGGCATCATGTGCCTGGGCTTCCCAGCCTCTGTAACCAGCAGCAACATGAATGCAGCCCTGTGCTCATGCGAGAGGCAGAGAAACACCAGGAGACAGCAGGAGAGAGAGACAGAGAGCCTGCCTCCTTGTAGGTTTACTCCCCACACCCCTGCAGTGGCTGGGCCTGAGCTGGGAGTCAGAAACTCTCCCAGTGTCTGCATTACCAGGAGGCTGGAGCCAGGGGTCAGGGGCCAGAGCCAGGTGTAGATGTGGGATGAGGGCGCCTACAGGTGCCTCCTGTGCAAGGCCAAACGCCTGCCTCATAAACTGTTCCTGATCAGTTTCTGGCAGTCAGTGGGTTTCAGTTACAGCAACAGAAAACAAACGCAGACAGCCATGGAGGGGAGTGGGCTGAACTGCATCAGACACACCTGCTGGGGCCCCTGGAAAGATGCTATCCTAAGGCCCATCCCCTCATCTGCAAAAGGGGGTCCTGCTACCCACTTCTTAAGCCTTCCCTCACACAGAAAAAGCAGTATTGAGTACTGCCTTGTGAAAAGCAAGCCTTTGCTCAATCCTGCGCCCCAAGCCTGCAAGCCTGGTGCATGACCACACACTGCACTCCAGATGTGGTAACAAGGCCAGAGAGGGTGGCATCTCTGCATGTCCAGGGAGGACAAGGAGCCCCCAGTGATGCGGCCCCCCCGCATGCTCACCCCGGCCATGCCACCCACCAGTGTCACCTGCTCACCTGTAGTGTGTCCCCAAAGGAGAGCTTGTGGATGACATGCGTCATATCCGGGTTCTGTGGTTGGGCCGTGGCACTGTGTGTGGACACATGGAAATTGCCAGGGACCTGGGGAGAGGGGACATAGGTGTCAGGAGTCTTGGTGGCTGTTCCGGTGTGTAGAGGCTGTGTGATCCACAGGACAGGCCCAGCTGGGATTATTTCCAAACATGTGACTTCCAGGGAGTCACTGCACCTCGCTGGGCCTCTCCAGTGGGAGAGTGCACATACAGTACACTCGGAAGGTGGGCCATGAAGCTAGGACTGGAAGTGGTACTGCTTCCCTGCTTCCCCCACAACCCCTGTGGATTCTGGGGGTCCCATGGGCACCTTTTCTGGCTAAAGGACTGAGTGCCACCTGCTGCTTTGTCCTGACCTTGGCCTTCTTTGTCTTAAAATACAACTCCACACTAGCAGGGAATCGTGTCTGCCTTTTCCCAGGCCCTGGCCTGGCGCGGATGTCCAATGCCACCCAATGCTGGCTGAATAAATTACATTATGGTCTGCAACAGTTCCAATTTTACAGAAAAACACGCTCAAGGCCAGGGCAGTAGAGACACTTGGAAAGGTCCCACGTCAAGGGCAGTTTGCATTTGAACTTCTGCTTGCTTTGCATATATTCCTTCCGCACACTGGTGCTCGGACCCAGCAGTGCCAGGTCTGGGGATGATGGGCCACACAGCAGCCCAGCAGACCCCGAAGGATGCGCACTGCCCCAGACACATGGATGAGGACGGTCACTGGCTCGACCAGGAGTGTTGGATGCATGTAGGGAGGGCTTCCAGGTAACGGAGCTGAGGGCTCACCGTGAACAGGAGTGGAGATCAGAAGTCACCCAGTGTGTGGGTGTGGGGGATGAGGAAAGCTTTGTACTGTTGATTCCAGAATAGCAGGAAACAGGGACAAAGGGAGGTGGGGTCGTTTGCTGAATATCACCCCAAAGACACCCCGGTCCACCCAGGGTTTAACTCTGACTCGGCAAGGTCACCTAAGCTGCATCGTGTGCGTGGGTTCCAAGCGCCATGGGGAGGACTCTCCCTAGGCACTCTGCTGTGTTCAGGTTCCCCACTGACACCAGAGGCATCAAGTCAACAGATGGTGGCCACAGCTTCAGCGAGCCCTTGGTGGGTTATCAGAGTGAAGGGCACAGCTCACGAGGGTCTTGGGAAGACAGACAGCTTGGGAAGAGAGATAGCTTGGCAAGATCTCCCGACAGACAGCATCAAATTCCAGTACAGCCCTATTACCTGGCTTAGGGGCCCAAGGCAAGGTGAACAACCATTATGCACCTTGATTTCCTTTCCCCATTAGGAAATGGGGGCTGTAACCCAAGGTCATGGCGAGGACTGAACTGAGGTGACGGCCGGCAGCTGGTACTACAGGGTCAGGTTTGCAGGATGCTGGTATCACAGCAGACAGATGAGGCTCTTTCCAAAGAGAGAATGACATAGATGCTGGCAACCCATGGGGGAGAAGGGCCCAGCGTGTTGAAAACAAGTTGAACTTCATCTCCACCAGGATTAAAAAATAGCCGGTTCCTATAAGGTGGGTGGAACCCACATTGTGTTGCCTACCACCCTTACAAGAAAAACTGCTACTCCCGTAAGTAAAACCCCACCATAGGAATTCCCAGACTTCTCCGCAGGGCCATGGGTAGACTTCAGCCCTGGGAGTAGGGGCCTGGACCTAATACAGCTCCAAGGTGCAGTGTGCCTGGAGCTCGGTCCCTCGAGCACCTGCTGGCTGTTGGCTGCAGCCCGCAAGGCTGTGACTCAGTCACCCGCTCCGGCTACACACTGAAGCCATCACAGGTGGCTGAGTCATACCGGCACCCACTGGGGACCAAGACGGCAAAGACGACAGTTTGAGAGCCTGTGTGACTTAGGAACCTGCGTCAGCATCTCTGTCCCGATTTTAAAAATATATGGCTGGAGGGCAGGTGCTGTGCCAGCCTGCTCCCTCCCCCTTCCAGTCTGCCAAGCTCCTGGGGTGACTAAGAGGGGTCACAGTGTGCCACTGCAGTTCCAAACATGGGAACCCTGACACCTGGCTGCCAGCCAGCTTCTTGATGGATGGGCAGGTGTAAGCCCGACGGGGTGGGTGGGTGCTGGTAGGGTCAGCACAGTGCATGGTCTCACCACTGGCTTCCTCCCTGAGCAACCCTCACTGGGGGCAGTTGCTGAGAGAGAGAAACGAATGGTTAAAGAGGAGAGGGGGTGGACTGTTGGGCTCCTGTCCATGCCCGCCAACAGGGTAGCCTGGCTGTGTCCTGGTGTCTAGGTGACTTAGGTGTTGGAAACAGCAGCCACAGGTGCTCAGGCTCTTCAGCCTGTGTCACCTTGAACTTCAGCACCAGTGCTTCAGGCTCCCCAGGGCTGTTGTGAGGGTCAACAAGGGTCACAGGGCTGGCTGGCAGCTGTGACGGGAGGGCCTGTTTGGAGGACCCTGGCCCTTTGACAGGACTGGACTTATGTGCAGGTGACAATGGATGCCACCTGATGAGATCCTATGAATGGACTGTTCCAGTGCCTATCCAGTCCCTGTTGCATTTAGTGCCTCATGTATTTTAATCTGTCCCTGCCCCACAACCTGTGAGGCATTCCCATTACACAGGCTAGGACACTGAGGTTTGGAGAAGCCAGATCACCCGGAGCTCTGGCTGTCAGAGCAGGAGCAGGCACTGAGCCTGCTAGGGGCCCCGACACCGCCCATGGAAGGAGAGCAGGCTGCGGCCTCAAGAGTTTGCAAAGAAGAGTTTGCAAAGAAGGAGGTGAGTGGTAGTAGCTGGGCTGTCTCCTAGTCGCCATCCTGGCCTCTGGACATCAAGACCTGAATAAACACAGATCTTATTGCTCACTGTTTGGGGAGTGCGTGTGATTTTTTCTTTTTTGTATCTCAGAGGTCATACCTCTCTGGAGGAGTTCTCAAATTTGTGCATGTGTGCCTATCAACTTCCCACAGGTGCCCTCCACAGGTCTTCCCTTACAACTTTATCTTACAACTCTCTCTTTCTCTCTCTCGGGCTTTCTTTTCTACCAGGACATCCACTTCAGAGTCTCATGGCTGCACCTGTCACATTGTTTGTGCCTTGACTTGTTGGCCTATGTGTGGACTGTGACCCCACTACTGCTTCTAGGTACCAAGTGCCCAGGACACACTTGATGGCATGGGGGTATGGCTCAGCGTAGAAACACAGGCCTGGAGAAGGTGGCAGCAGCAGGTGGAGCAGGGTCGAGCCAGTGCTTACCCCATGAGACCTTTGGGTGAGCAGCAGCACCTTAAGGGGATGGGTTGGCAAGAACATCCGAGCAGAACCAGGACCCGGCGCCACCAAGCACACCCAGACACCTGCCTTCTGCCCTGCGGTCACTTGTGCCTTGCTTCCCAAGGCCGGAGCTCCATGGCAGCCTCAGTTCTTCCCCATTTCTCGTCTTCCCTGACTCTCCCTCTGCAACACAGAGCTCGGGGCCCTGCCGTGGCACCATCTGTCCCCCACTTTGGGACATGTCCTCATCCGGATGCCAATGCCTGCCTAGCCCTTGTTCCCTCTGTCTGTACAACACCTTCTGCTTGTGCCAGTGTGAGTTTCCCCAGAGTTCTCCCTGCTCCAACTTCCTGGTCCAGAAACGCTAAGATGCTCTGGAAACCAGCCCTCCAAGCGCACTTCTCTTGAGAGCTTAGGTTCTTCACGGCTTTTCTGCCAAGGACGACTCTTTGCCAGTCTGATGAAACCAACACTGTTACAGTGTAAAATGTTTTTAATGCCTGAAATGCACAGGATGGTGGCAGGAAGAAACAGTGTCTCAGCCATAATGAAGATATTAAAACACCCTTGAGCAAGCTTCAGCCGTAATGCTTCCAAGAACATGGCCCACGCACAAATGTTGCACAGAGGCTGCCTGTGACAATGGCAACCCCAGCCCTTGGCATGGCTGTGGCCGTGGTGGCCTCCAGCCTCTGCTCACTGTTGAAGAGGATGCTGGATCTGAGACAGATCTTCTTAAAAATGCACCTGGGATTTTTTTTTTTCTTTCATCTAGGTTCAGGCACTCTTAGCAGAGTCTATGGACCCCATTTATTTATTTTAAAATTTTTATTGGAAAATCAGATTTATAAGGAGGAGGAGAATCAAAAAGAAAGGCCTTTCATCACTGATTCACTCCCCAAGTGGCTGCAACAGCCGGAGCAGAGCTGATCTGAAGCCGGGAAGCAGAAGCTTCTTCTGTCTTCCACCTGGGTGCAGGGTCCCAAGGCCCCAGGTCATCCTCCACTCAGGCCACAAGCAGGGAGCTGGACATGAAGCAGGACTGCTGGGACTCACACTGATGCCCATATGGAACCCCAAAATGTGCAATGTGAGGATTTAGCTACCAGGTCTCTGTGCTGGGCCCATGTGAACCCCAGTTTTAGCAAAAGGCATTGCACTGTCTCTAGGCATTCCGCTTTGACTGCCAATCTTCAGACTGCTTTGGCATCAGAACTTGGGGAGAGGAGTCAGAATGGGGTCTGAGAATTGGTGAGTTCCTGGGAGTGGGGAAACTGAGGGTTATTGATGCTGCTGGTTTGGGGGCCCCACTTTCAGCGACTCCACGGACCCAGGCTCCATGATGACAGGTGTAGTCCCGGACTCCTCTGAGCTCCTGACGCTCTTGTCCCACCTCCACCCATTCACATCTCTGTGGAGGCACTGCCAGGAGTCTCCAGATGACGCCAGACCCAAGCTGATGCTCAACCCCACCTACGTCCTGTGTGGGTCATATCCAAGAACCAGGCCATCTTCCTGGCTAGAGGGAACTCTGGGATGGCTCTCATCCCCAATCTGTACCCAGTGCATCACTGAGTACTACGGACTTCCCATTCCTGATTGGATCCTGCCTCCCATGGCATGGTCTCTGCTCCCCAGCATGCAGTAGCCAGAGGGACCTCTCTAGGATGTGCTGTCCAGCACAGTACTCTCTGAGGAGAGAGACACGCTGGCTCCGTGCTGGGAACCAGGGGTGGCTGCCTGGCATTGGCTACGTGGCTACTGAGGGACTGAGTTTTACGTTTTACTGAACTTTACCCAATGTGAATTAAAATAACCTGTTGTGACTAATGGAGAGTACAGTTTTAAAGCTTGGTTCTCAGGACATGGCCTCCCCTGCTTAAAAGCCTCAGAGAATGGAGCTGGCATCATGGCACGGCAAGTTAAGCCTAAGCCGCTGCCTGGGATGCAGGCATCCCGTATTGGGTCCTGGCTGCCCCGTTTTTGATCCAGCTTCCTGCTGATGCTCTTGAGAAAGGCACCAGAAGATGGCTCAAGTGCCTGGGTACCTGCCAGCCACAGGGGAGACCAGGATGGGTTTTCCGGCTCCTATCTTCGGCCTAGCCTAGACCTAGACCCTGTGAGTAGCAAATTTGCACAAAGAGCCACCCTCTTTCCCAAACTGCCTCCTACCCTGGTCTTGGGCTGCCTAAGGACTCACTTATCACATCAAATGTAGCAGATGTGTTTTTCCCTGTTCCAAGTCTTCAAGGCCCTCACACTTGGTGTTTCATCAACACGTAAGCCTAGGTTACTGCCGAAGACGTGCACGGCTGGGCACACACCCTGGCCAGAGGTCACTGCTCCTCAGTGCCAGGTCACTGTCACCAGGGAGTGCATCCAGTGTGGCTCAGGGCTTCCAGAGCCTCATGGTCTCTTGGTGTTGGCTCCCTGGTGTATTTCCATGTGGACCGACAAATACAACTTCTCCTTGGGTTGCACATGGCCAGTGAGCGTGGAAGCTCGGGCTCCAGGGGAGGATGTTCTCAACACGAGCTGGCATGCGGGCCAGCAGAAGCCAGGAGTGGACTGGAGCTCAGCCAGGCTAGGAATGGCCTGGGGCTCAGCATGGCTGGGAGTGGTCAGGGGCTTAGCCTGGCTTGAAGTGGCAAGGGGGTCTGCCTAGTTGGGAGTGGTCAGGGGTTCAGCCTGGCTGGAAGTGGTCAGGGGCTTAGCCTGGCTCAGAGTGGCAAGGCGTGCTGTGGGGACTGGGGACTGCTGTGTGATCTCAGGTAAGACATTCAGCCTTTCTGAGTCTAGCATCACAAGGGTGATAGGATGCTCCCGCAGGGGGTGGAGCTGGGAAGGGTCAGTGGCTCCCATCAGGGCGTCACTGCCATTCCAGGCCCCCTGCACTGGCAGCCTGAGGTCCACTGTCAAACAACAGTGACACCCAAATGGTAACGGTCCTTCTGAGTGGACACGGCACTTCCCAGCACTGCCTTTCTCACACTGCCCTCGCAGCTGCACTAGGTACCCTCTGAAATGCTCCTTCCAGGTTGGCTGTCACCTTCTGTGACAATGCAAGTCCCACCAACCTGCAACAGTTGCTCCTCCATTCACTGCACTGCCCCCAGGCCTAAAACGCAGCCTGGAAAGGAAGAGGCACTCCAGGACAGCGCTGGCTTCTTTATCCTTGTAAAGTCTGGGGGGCAAGGAGGAACGGGTCATCATTTTATTGCTATCTTCACAGCCTCAACCAAAAGGTATGAAACCTGGGCCCGGCATGATGGCTCAGTAGTTGAATCCTCACCCTGCACATGTAGGGATCCCATACGGGCACCGGTTTGTGTCCCAGCTATTCCACTTCCCATCCCTGCTTATAGCCTGGCAAAGCAGTTGAGGATGGTCCAAGGCCTTGGGACCCTGCAATCATGTAGGAGACCTGGAAGAAGCTCCTGGCCCTGGATCAGCTGAGGTCTGGATATTGTGGCCACTTGGGGCATGAATCAGTGGATAGATCTTTCTGACTCTCTTTCTCTCTGTAAATCTGCCTTTCCAATGAAAATAAATAAAACTTAAAAAAAAAACCCAATAAATAAAGGTGTGAAATGAGGATGAGGATCATCTGGGTGTTGCCAGTCACAGGGGCGGAGCCGGGGCTCAGGGTTGCCATTCCAGGTCTCCTTATTGTCCACCAAGGAGAAGGGGAGCCCCTTCCAAGTTGGAGCATTCATTGCTCAGGGCGGGACATGGGGAGCACACGAGGCCTGGCAATGTCTCCCTACCTTGTTGATGCTGAACTGGCCCTCGAAGCGGCAGCCTGCTCCATTGTTCAGAGGGATCTTCATGGAGTTGTCAATGTGGCCCACCTCGTGCCTGCCCATCTCATCCTGGATGTCGAGCCCGACCACTGTGGGAGGGGATGAGAGTCGACGGTCACACACATTCTGGAAAGCAGGGCGAGGGGCATTCATCCCCAAAGTCACGGACGGGGAGGCTCTGGTGACAGGGAGCAATCCACTCCCCCACTCCTGAATGTCCCCACAGCTCCTGTCGCCCACTGTAGCTGGAAAGCAGGAGGGGTGGCAGAGCTGGGGGCAGCTGTGGCTGTGGGGCCACAGGGTGCTGAATATGAGGGGCGGTGCACAGGAGGGCTTAAGAGAGGAACGCTGACTGAATCCAGAGTCTATTTTACCAGCTCTGCCTGTGATCTTGGCTCACGTACTGAAAACTCCCAATGCCTTAGTCTTTTTCTCTAATAATTGGGCCTGAGAGGGGCTGGCACTGTGAAAACAACTAGTTAACCTGTCACCTGCACCCCTGTGGAAGACCCAGGAGTGAAGATGTGTCCCAGGGAGGGAATGTGATGTGGCTGCTTCCAAGTATGAGTATGCATGCTCAAGGCTGGCCCACCACAAGCAATGTCATCTGAACCAGTGACCACCAGATGCAGGTGTAGAAAAGGAGTCCCCTCCACCCACCCCCACACACACACACACACACACACACACACACACACACACACACATACACACACACTCACACCCACACACACACACACACACACACGGGGGGGGGGAGGTGGGCAGGGCAGCCCCGAGGCCTCGGCAACTCACCATGCCTCTCTGTGCCTCAGTCTCCTCATCTGCCTCAACCATGGGGGGGGATGGGGTGGTGGGTTCTAGAACACCGGAATGGCCTTGGTCCATTGTAGGGGTTCTTGGGACATGTGGACAGCCCCATAGAAAGAACTGACATGAATACTGCTGGCCTTGCCCTCCCTGGAGGGAACTGGGGCACGGCGCCCTTGAGGCTAAGAGACGCAGGAGCGTGGGCTGACACCGGGGAGCTTGTTCATGCCCCTTCCAAGAGATGGTTGGGAGGTGTCATGTACCACACCTCAGTATATCCTCCTGCCCACTCTTCATCCCCGAGAACTCATCACCCACAACACAGAAGCCATGAACACGCTGGCTCTGCCATGCTATTTAGGGAATCAGAACACACACAGTTACGTTCGCCCTGCAGGTGGCTGACTGTGGGGGTTTGGAATTCCTGCACACATGTGGGGGTGGGCAGGGAGGACAGCATGCTGGGAACGACTGAAAGGAAACAGCCAGAAGGCTCCTTCACTGCCTAGGAACTTTTTTCTTTATGTGTTTTGTATTTTGAAGGCATGCCATTTTTTTTTTAAGAAAATAAAAATATATTCCCGTATCAGTTGTGTCATTAAGAATATTATTTTTAAAAGCAGAGGATGTGAGAGCCTCCGTGGCGCATGAGCTCAGCCGTGTTTGGACAGGATGATGTCACCGTGTCAACAGACACTGTCGCCAGGGTGGGACGGCAGGGACTCTCTTTTCTCCAAGGCTGAGTTTTCTGGGGCCCCCGTGATGAACAAGCACTTTCTTCGGTAGTACAAATGGGAAGCTCTTTGTTGAAAAAAAAAGAAGCTGGTCGGGGGTGGTAAGGGGATGCTGGGCTCTGGTGGGAGCTGCCGGCGTTCCCAGGCTGGCAGGGCATGTGGGCAGTGGGGCAGAGATGTACGGACGTGAGGAGGCTGCCGCCTGAAGCCCAGACAGATCCTGCGACCATATCCCTTCCCTCTTCTGCCCCCAACAGGTTCCAACCCCCTGGCTTAAGATTTCCCTCGTCCCAGAGACACAGTCCAACAGTGAGTCAGCCAGGTGAAGTCATTTTTTTTTTTTCAAACTCCCAAAACCAAAATAACTACAACTGACCCAGTCCATCAGGTTGTCTGTCTAGTCTGGGGTGCGCTGTGTAGATTCCTATCTGGGAGTCAATTCTCGCCAGCAGTGGGAGCAGGATGGAGCCTCTCCCTGCCTTGAGCTGCAGGCCCCAGCCAGTGTTCTGTTCTATGTCCTTTGCTGGGGAGGGACCAGTGTCCACTCACTAACACGTCCAGAAACCACCCCATTGGATTTTCCCTGATGCTCTCAATCAACAGGTGTTACTAAGTCCATTCTGTAGGTGAGGAGACCGAGGCTCTAAGGTCACCTAAGCAGGGGTCACACAGGAGGCCAGAGGTGACTCAACAATCAGACTGCATCACAGAAGTAAAAACAAATCCATTCTCTTGGCTAAAACAAAAAGTCAAGAGTAAAGTGGAATGCCAAGTTTCCTGTCTTTTTCCTAAAACAGACACTCTCAGAACTTGCCTCATTCCTGGGGCTCACAGTGCCAAACCCAGCTGGCTGTTGCAGGTGCCGGCTGTTGGCGGCTCAGCACTGTGCCCTGCTCCTGACAACTTGGCTGACTCCAAGCCCCCCAGCTTTGAGCGGCTGGGGAGGTCACGTGATTCCCAACACGCCGGCACCTGGCACCTTTTGTTGTTAGCCAGTGCCGTGGGTCTAAGAGACTGGCCCCATTGCTGCTGGGTGGAACCAAGCTGATGGTTGTCATTGATACTGCAGAGTCCCGTGCCACCTGGCTAACACTGGACATCAGCTGAACACACCCTGGACTCCCTTAGAGCCCACTCCTCACAGCCAATCACCTGCACAGGAGACTTGGGTTCTGCTGCCAAGAGACACCCTTCACCTCTGGCTCTCCAGTGGTGATCCCTAGACATAGTGTGTTCTATGTTTAACGTATAGAAAACCTCCAGGGACATGCACGATAGATCACACTCGCTTCCAGAAATAGTGAGGGGCTCGCTTGCAATGCTGATGCAGCTTGCCCTGCTCACCTGGCCTGGCCAGACATCCTACGGCATGGTCACACACCCAGCTGCCCAGAGAAGACATCTTGCTGAAGCAGGGAGTTGGGGGAGAGCTGCCTGGAGGGTACTCACGTTCACAATGCAAATTGGGCAAACTGATGTTCAGGCTGACGTCAATTTTTCCCCCACTGTCCTTGTCTGGGTCATCGACGTACAGCTCGTTCACACTGAAGGAGACACAAGTACAAGAGACATGGTTGAGACGGGAACAGCGATCCCCAATTGCAGGGTGTAGCCCAAAAGTGTTGATCAACCCTGACCTCTGACCTGGCAGAGCCTGCACAGCAAAGCCTCCCAGTTCACTCAGGACAGGGCAGTTGAGGAGCAGGTGGACACTGGCAAGGGGACATTGCTTGGAGTCAGATAGATTCAAGTTCAAACTTCAGTTTTCTGGCACATCCTATGTTCAGCTCCGTGACACTCTTCATTAAGTAATGAGAGTATCCCCCAGAAAACGGGGTGCTTTGAATACTACAATGAGAAATGGAGGTTGTGGACACACAGTATCCACAGCCTCCAGTCTTGAGATTCTGCTGAGCTGGCTGGGAGGTCAGAAATTCCTTGGTACTCATCCCTACAAAGCCCTTGGGCTGGGGCCTGAGTGTAAGACAAGCCCACACCCCCATGCTAATGTCCAGTGGCTGCTGTGCCAAATCACCACCCAGCCTCCAGTGTCCAAAATACTCAGCTTCTTTGGCTTTCAGAGGTTAAGGTGAAAATGGGTCTGCAGGGCTTTGTTCCTTGCATGGGTGCCAGGGCAGAATTCCTTCTGCTTTCTTGCTGTCACCTAGATTCAAGGCCCCCCTCTCTCCTCCTTTCTTTTATTTATTTGAAAGTTAGAGACCTTCCATTTGTTGGTTCAATCTCCAAATGGCTACAATAGCCAGGGCTGAGCCAGACCAAAGGCAGGAGCCTGGAACTCCATCTGGGTCTCTTTTGTGACTGGCAGAACCCAAGCATTTGGGCCATCCTCTGCTGTTTTCCCAGGCACTTCAACAATAAGCTAGATTGGAAATGGAACAGCTGAGGCCCAGTTGGGCACTCATTTGGGATGCTGGCTTTATGGGTAGCAGCTTTACCTCCTGCACCACAACGCTGACCCCCAGCTCTTGGGGTGATTTCCTTGGCTCATCTAGATTACCCATGACCGTCTCCCCTCCTAGACAACCCCAGTGCGGTCACATTCGTCAAGTTCCAACTAAAGCTGCACAGTCTGGGGCTGGTGTTGGGATGCAGCTTGTTCAATCTCCACTTGTGATGCAGACATCTCTACGGGTGCTGGTGCGTGTCCTGGCTGCTCCACCTCTGATCCAGCTTCCTGCTAATGGCCTGGGAAAAGCAGCAGAAGATGGTTCAAGTCCTTGGACCCCTATACCCATGCGGGAGATCCAAATGGAGCTCCTGGCTTTAGCCTGGTTCAGCCCTACTTATTGTGGTTATTTTGAGAATGACTCTGGAAATGATTCTGTAACTCTTCAATATATATATAAATAAAGTTATATGGTCACAGTAGCTGCAGGGACAGAGAAAACTCAGTGATTGTTTTGTTGACTAAAACAGCAAGAAGTACGGTCCAACCCACAGACAGCCATGTCCCCTGGCCGTCAGGGACAGCAGCAGCATGTCGGGATGTGACAGCCACATGCATTTGCTCAACAAACACTTATTGGGCACTGACTACTCATCGGGTACTAGAAACGTCCCTGGGCCAGACAGATGCGGTTTCTGCCTCCATCAGGCTTACAGACACGAGAAGCAGACATCATTCACTTCCTAAGTAAACATGCGGCCACCAACAACACTGAGTGCTTGGACGGTGGACCCTGGGGTGACTGCCAGGATGATGCTCAGGAGACAAGCATGGGCTCCGGGCGTGGAGAGCCGCTGTCCTGGCTCACACAGCGAACTAGACACAGGCCACCCTGGCTGTGTGGTGATGCATTCAGAGTGGGAGGATGCTGAGGACAGCCACAAGGTCATACCTGCATGGTTCCAAGGACCAGCTGCAGGGGCCACCTGGGACAGGGAGGCCATGCCTGGTGGGGTGCAGGTGGGAGATGGTGCTGGCCTGGACTGAGTGCAGTGAAGATGAAGAGGAAAGCTGGGATGTAGGACACGTTTGGGGCAAACAGGACTTGCTGATGGACCATACACATACGGGGCAGTCTGAGGGTAGCCATGCTTTTGTCTAGACCCCTGTATGTTGAGCTGGGAGCCCCCTGCAAGAGACAGGTGCAGGACTGATGTGGGGAGAACGACACTCGGCTCCAAGGGCTGTGTCAGGCTGAAGGGTCCAGGGGACATGCCTGAAGAACTGCCTGGTGGCTGGGGACAGCTGCATCGGAACCTACTGGTGGCTCCTCACTGGGAAACTGCTAGAGATGGTGGGACTGGGGCTGTGTCACTTGGGGAGGACAGACACAGGGGAAGACTGGCCAACAAGTACAAAATCATGACTACACAAGGAAAAGGATAGGCAGATGCTCTGCCATGCAGAATGGTGTCTGCCAAATGAGTGGGAACCGAGGATTTTAGTTTTCAGGCAAGAAGTGTAGCCTGGTTGTATATTCCCCCATGTTTACCTGTCCTGAGATATCACACTATACCCCCATAAATTGACCAATGTTGATCTGCTAACTGAAAATACAGTTTATTACACCTCTGGGGTCCCTCCCACAGCTGTACAGGGGGGCGGGGAAGCACTGGGCACAGCAGGTAAGACACTAGCATCCCACGCCAACCAGTGTTGGGTCTGTGCCCCGAGCTTCTCTGCTTGGGATCCAGCTTCCTGCTAAACAGGTGCATTTGGAGGCAGCAATGAAAGCTCAAGACCTGGGGTCCATGTTGCCCTGGCCCAACTCCAATTATGATCATCGATGGGAAGTGAACCAGTGGATGGTATACCTCTGTCTCTCTCTTTCAAATAATCCAATCGGTCAGACAATCTGGGGGAACATGGTTGGTATGGTTAACCGGGAATGGAGGCATTCATCAGACAGACAGGGATGCTTCCTCCTGGGGTCTCTGTGGGTGCTCCTAGAAACACAAGATGTGACTTAGCCTTCAGAAGACTGAAGCCCAGTCCTTTAAGGGGTCTGTGTGTTTGAGCGGGGGTGCTATCTGAGAAGGCCAACTGTGTGCTTTTATATGGTACCATCTGCTCCTAGGAAAGTGCCCTGATGCTCACTTTATGTTTTAGTTTTTATTTCTTTGCTTGACAGGGATGGGAGAGCTCTCCCGTCTACTATTCCACTACCCCAATGCTAGCAGCAGCTGGTGCTGTGCTGGTGCCAGGGCTGGGGAGCCAGGGACTCAATTCAAGCCCCCCAGGTTGAGTGTGAGGAACCCCAATGACTCACACCATCCCCTGCTGCCTCCTGGAGAATGCACGATCAGGATGCTGCAATGAGAAGCAGAAGCCCCAATCCAAAGCCAGGTGCTCTAATTCGAGATGAGAGCTGCCCCAGGCCGTGTCAACTGCTGTGCCAAACACCAGCCCCCAGACCCTTACTTTAAATACAACAGGAGATGTTGGAGCCAGAATCTTAACCAGGTCTGTCTTAACCCTGAACTCCAAGTGTCTCATAGCTCCCACAACCTCCCCTGCTCTCAATGCCTGGGGGAAGGAAATGGGGGTGCAGACAGGAGACAGGGAACACCCAACAGCAGACAAGGCAGTGGGAGAAGGGCAAGCAGCATGCCAGGGACTGGCTGTCCCTGCAGATCGGACAATCTCCCCAGTTCCCACCCTAGTCTTAACACAGACCGTCTGCGTGGTTAACCCAAGGTCCTGGAGCTGGAGCCCAGTGGCTTAGCCTCTTCTGTAAGCTCCTCACCTCTCCCAGCTGGCCAGGCTGGGGGACTGTGGAATGATGTCACCCCTAGCAATGCTGGGGAGGTGACCTCAGCCAACAGCGAGGTGAATCCCAGGTGTGACACCTAGGTGAGTGCACCTGTGAAGCCCCAGGGGCCCCTCCCAGGCATACTTCCTGTCTTTGGACTAGACTGGGCTCCAGGGCAGAATGCCCCAGACTTGTTATGTAATAGCGGCTGCTCCATGCTCCCACCTGAGGTCCCCTGGCTGCGGGATAGACATGGCTGAATCACCCATGCCACTGCCTGATGAGGTCAGCCTGGCGCCTGCCCACAGCCACCCCTCGGAAGGCCACCTTCACTAAGTGACTTCATTGGTTGGGGCTTAACTGGTTTTCAAAGCCACCAGGCTACTAGAAGAAATACGCATGTTTCCCTGCAGGCGGTGATTCTTGCGGGAAGCGGTGGGAGGTGTATGTGTGTCATTCCTCCTGTAAATAGTGGCTGGGGCCACGGCCAGGGCCACCCAGATGTGGCCCTGCTCCTCGGGAGCGGGGGTATCCAGGGGTAAGCAGCCTCACCTCTAAGCCTCTGCTCCCTTACTCAAGAAAAGTGGAGCAGCTTTCCTGTGACTCCGGAAGCATACCCACGGCAGTCACAGGACCCCGGGGACCTCTGGGCAGATGGTCCAAGCGTGTCTCCATTGAGGAGTCCGGGTGCACAAGTTCTAAAAGTCTGCAGGCTTAGCCTGTGATGCTCCATGATGCACATCTCACTGAGGACGTGGGAGGATAAGCAACAGCGCCAGGGTTCCAGTACTTCACAGGGGACACTGGAGGACAAGCGGGGAAGCTCTGGGCTGCCCAGGGCAGGAGTGCAAGTATGTAGGATGATATAGGAGTATGTATGTATCACTGTGATGTGAGTTTACACGAGTGCCTATGCATGTGTGGTGTGAGGGCACACGAGGCTGAGTGCGTGTGTGATGCCTGTGTATGAGTGTGCATGTGTGAGTACATGCGTGTGTCAATGGACGTGTGTCACTCATCTCACAAGGGCCTACCACAGCTATTCTTGGTAAAGAATGTAGAGCATGATGGGGGACATGCCAATTGGCAGGGGGTTTCAATCCCAGACCTGTCACCTCCTGAATGACTGACCCTGGGCGCAGGGCTTCATCTCCAGCAGCCTCAGCCCTGTTGCCCTGCCGCCCCCACCCCCCCGCCGCCCTCCCAGTGGCAGGTGTAAAGCAGGGAGGTGTCAAGGGGTAGCTGACAAGATGAAAGAGAACAAAAGGGTGCTGAGCACTCTCAGTATACAGCAAGTACTCAATGGATGCCCTCGACATGGTCAT